GTTGTTTCATTGTAGATGCTATTAACATTCTAACGGAGATGAAAGAGAAGGATGTTCCTATCTCAGGCAAAACAGTTGCATCTTTAGTTCGCATTCTTAATGCCGCTGCCATGCGAGGGGAAGTTGAAACAGTGAGTCGATTACATGAGACCATTGTGAACCTGGGCTTGGCCGAAACTCCTGCCCTGCACTCCCCTCTGATTACAGTTCACCTTGAAAAGTAAGATATATTTGGGCTTCAGATAAAATGAGTTATGACTCATGGTGTGTTGTATGACCTGTGTATGCTATTCACAGCCAAGTGTACATGTTTGGAGGTGCTCATGTGAGAAAGGGGGTGCACATGCACACACATAGAATACTGAGGTGATACCAAAGTAACTCTAGTGAGCTAGTATGTTTTCTTAATTTAGCTAAGTCTGTTTTCATCAGTTAGACATCATGTCACGATCTCTGGGAGCAACAGCTGTGTTTTACAGGCACATCAGAGCTGAAGTGGCTCTGTGTTGGAATATGCTTACAAATTAGTTTGTTCCAAAGTCTGTTAGACAAGATAGCCATTCAGAGCATGATAGGTGTAGTGTCAGCTCTTGTGGTTAAGTGGTACATATTTTTCCATCAAAACAGCATTAATTTGCTGTGCCTTCCAGTGTGTATCTCAGGTGAGTTGAAGGGTAATTGTTGAACAGTGAAATATTTTTAATTCACATAGTTCACATAAGTTGATGATATGGCCAATAGACTGCTAAGGTGCTGAATTCAAAATTGAAAGAAAATACTGTTTGGTTTGTGTGTTATGTTTGGGGTTTTTGCCTCGATATAGTTTTAATGCCTGTATTTTTGCATATATGTACTCTTAGATTTATTAGAGAAAAGGAATTTCTAAGAGTCAGTCTGGCAGGAAGTATCTCTAATTCCACATGTCGTGTTCCTTTGCATAAATTTTCATGTTGAGGTGTAGGATACTTGAATCAGTGTATTGATGAATTACATAACAATTTCTCCCTAAAATTGAACTAAGAGCCTCTTTTCACTTCCTTTACCATATTTGCAATCCTTTTTATTATTCTTTTGCCTGTCACTTACCTAACTTATGGTTTTTAAACTCTTGCAGCTAGTGATAAGCTGTCAATTTCTTGAGATTTTCTTCATGTAAATGAAATGTTATTGACTTAAATACAATGCCTATGAGATAAGTGAATTTTTCATAGTATCATGTAAGTCAACCATGTAGAGGTTTATATTAGTGTTCTGGGTATGCAAAGTCTGTATAACATGTTCTGTATTGAAAATTCTTGTAAAAAGGTGTAACTCTTGGTAGATGTATGTACATTCTCTTCTAAAAATAGTATTTGAATGTGGTGGTCAACAGTTAAGAACATAGTGTACATCTTTTCAGTCAGCAACTCTGTCTTGGTTACATCACAAGACAAGGCAGATGTTTATGAAAGTAATTTAGCTGCAATCATATGTAACTAATGTGTCGGAAAAAATATCTGATATGCTTTGCAGTGTGCAGGAAGAGCAGCTGCATTTTACATAATTGCTTTATGCACGTTGACATGAAGTTGTACCTGGTGCTACTTGGATTCTTTTCACTTGAGACGTAGTAAATGAGAGTGCAGATAAAGATGTGATCATGTGTAGATGAGAAGAAGGACAGTAATGAGTGTAATTTTAATTTGATTCCACATTCTTCTGGACTACAAATGTTTGGCAAAACTTTGTAAAAAGTTGGGGGTTTTAGTAAATGGACTTTCATTGAGACAAGATTCATAAAGGAGAAAGTGGTTCCAGGCTGGAATTGTATGGTTACAAGCCACTGATACTCACCTGTGTAACTTTTAATACATTTCATATATGTAAATATAATACAAATTAAGCTCATTTTCTATGGGATTTTTGACATGTTACGGGTGAAGAGACTGCTTCCTCTCCAGTATTAGGCAGAAGTGAGAAGTGGTTTTTTGCATAATTTTCTTGGGAGGAATAACTGCATTTCAAGGGGAGTTTGTTTGGGGTTTTTTCTCCTTTTTCTTTGGGGAGGAGAGTTTTTTTGGTTTGTCTGTTTCCTTTTTTTTTCTTTGGGTTTTTCAAAGTTATGAGTGGCTGAAATAAGTGTTTGTCATTTCTTTCAGCAGTATTGCTTATTATTTTACATCCTACAACTTGAGTATCATACTGAAATGCTGTAGTTTACCTGCAGGTCGTCAGTGTGCCTCTGAAATTAGTGCTGGGATATTTGTTAATGTTCCACAGCAGTGGTTGGGCTAGTGTTTTGTGTTCTTAACATATTTCAAACTTCTAAATTGCTTGGAAAGGAATCTGTGATTCACTTTTGAAGATTTCAACAATCGTAGGTGTAAAATGTTTTCATCTACCTCTTTTTTCCAGTCCTGGATATTCTGCAATTCTTGTTAACTTCTAGTGCATGTTAAAAGTGATAATTTGCAGCAGGGTGTGGAAAAGAAAAAAATGTTAATGATGGACAGCATAACTTGACAAAAAGCTAACATTTGCATTTAATGTTTTGAGAAATATTTAGCTAAAATAACTAGAGAGAGAATTCCATACCTACCCTGGGGTTTTTTTTTGACCCTAAGGGGAACCACCCTCCTGCTTTATATTGTCTGCTTTATGTTTATGACCTTTAACGGTTTCTCAAGGTGGTGAAATCACATTAAAAACTGAGACAGTCTACATGTGGAATCTTGGTCTGTCATTCAAGGTGATAAACCTCCATTGGACAGTATGGCAAAAATCTTAGTTTCTAAAATTTGTCTTAAAACCCATCTTACTTGTTCTTCCAACTGCTAGTAATTAGAAAAGCTTGTGTTGCCTACACTGTGTATATTTTCTTAAGATTATAAGGATTGTAGTTTGGCTTTAAGTTCTTACCAACTGTCGGGGAAACCTATTTGAACATGAGCCACTTTACAGCACCGAAGAGGTTCATGAAGATAACCTGCTCCTGTCCTGTATGTTACTTGGATAATACCTATTTTACAGGATGATAAATTGACAGATAAACTACAGGCCAGTTTTTTTCTTTCATGCAAGAAAACTGCACAGGGCAACTTTTTGTACAACCAGAAATAGGAATACACACTTTAAAACCCTGATAGGGTTCCTATTTTTTCATTAACATAAGTTTGTTTCTATTCTCCTGGATTAATACCATCTTGGTGAAAAGAAAGCAAAAACATCTTCAGGTTTGAAATCTGATAATTGGCTATATGAGAAGTGCTCTTAAGCAGAAGGAAGAAAATTTGCAGGTAAATTATGAAAACATCATGTTACAGACCATGTGAACCAACTGTTTTGTAGTTTTAAGTTGGGGAACGCAAGCAATTAGTATCTGTATATTAAGCCATCAAAAGGCTGTAGCTGGATTGTGTTTCTTTAAAACTGGTTAGTATTTTAAAGACAGTGTTACCCAGTAAAGCATTATGTGCTCAGTTGTCGTTAGTCTTATATAAACCCATTTTGATTAGTTTCTTATGTAGTAGATAGAGCATGAATGCAGTGCCCTGACAGTTTTTCTTCTGTTATTTTCATGGAGATAAATTCACCTGTGATTTTGTTTGAGATGGTTCTTTAGCACTTTCAAGTTATTTGACTTTTAAATGCACTTTTAAAAATAGGCATGTTTTTAAATTAAGTGGTATTTTTAGCGGGGGGGGGGATATCTCTGGTGGAGAGAGGTTTTTTCCTAATTTTTAGCAGCTATATTTCAAATATTTGTGTTAAAACTCTTTATGTATTGCAATGAAATTAGGGATGTTTGGCTCTCTTACTCCATTATTGCAATTAGGAATTTAGCATCATTAGTGCCAAAGGACAAAAGTGTCTCATTTGCCCTATGGGGACAGGACAGTGATAAGATGATTTTTCGTCAAGGATCATTGGGTCGTAATTAAGTTACATTCATGGCTATTGCTTTTTGAAGGATGATTGGTAAATGACAGGCTTCATGTGCTTGCTATGGACAGTGTTCACTAGGGTTTTTTCTCCCTCTGTCAGAAAATCCTGTTGAGTCTGATAATGTAAATGTGGCATTTTATTCTGAACAAAAGAGCAGGGAAATGAGCTATCTTGTCTAATCATTCAGTTGTTTAACACCGACTTCCAGTTTAGACTCAATTGGCTGGAAAGCACTTGACATGTGAAGTTAGTGCTGTTCGGAACGCATGTTTGAGTAAATTTTAAAGTAAGTGACAGCTAAATTGTACCTAGGGAAATTACAAAGCCTTCAACACAGTTAATTTTTTGGGGAGGATTAGTTGTAATTGCAACACCAGTCTCCTTGAAGATTCCTTAGTATAGCAAATGAACAGAAACACATTTAGCTCTTTCAAGAGCCTGTTCTCTTTTAACAGAATAATTTTTGTAAAGCTGATTGTACCTTGCTGAATTGACTTGCCTCTACACTAACATCTGCTTCAGATTTGTAGGGAGGGATTTGTTTTACCAGGCTACCCTCCACCCCCACCCCAGAGAGTCCCTTTTCTCTCTTTCTACCTCTCTAGTGATTTCAGGTTTGAGAGCTTTTCAATCAGTAAACCCCTTAGGTAAATTGCCACTTCACTAAAGCTTTATGCATAATGTTGCAGCACTTCATTCCAATTAAAATCAATATTTGGAGTCTTATTTTTATCAGGCAGACTCTCTGGTTGGGAAAGTTGTTTATTACAAGTAAAAGGGTTAGATTTAGTGCTACATTCTTGAAGCAAGAGGGGAGTGGCTTGTTGAAATTGGAGGGGGCTGAAATATCCATGCGCATTATAGCCAGTCCTGCTACAGAGTGTGTTCTGCAATCACTTGGACAACTAAGTAATTTAGAAGATAGCTTTGTGTGATTAAAATCCCCACACAAATATTTTGGAAGATTGGACCCATAATATCTTGGACTTCAGAGCCATCTTAAAGAGAACCCGAAAGAATCAAAAAACTTGATATCCTAACCCAAGCATCAATTTAGCTGAAAAATGATGCTGAAGTAGGGCTCTTCTGGGACTGCATAAGGGCCAGGCATAATGCAGTGATGGCTGAGGCTCCTTCTGTCATTCAAAAATAATAGTATATCTTCTTTTTTTAAAGAACAAGTTTCAATGTGCCAGGAAAATACACCTAATCTTTAAGTGGAACAGGTATTAGTCCTGAACAGATAATATTTGTGAGTGACTTAGAGCTGTAGTATCTGGCCAACTGAAAATGAAGCATGAATCGTCTGTGTTCACATTTTAAATACTGTTTATTCCAAACTGACACTGGAAATCAGATTTTTCCAATACGGCTATGAGTATATGTGGTTTATTTCCTTTTTGACTTGATTCATATTAATTAAATAGTAATTTTGGAGCAGGCTTTTAATGTAATAGTGTAGTAAGTATCCTTTGAGAGGGTAAAAGAGTGTTTGACATGCATAACTTCTTACAGAAAGACTACCAAATATTTTCAAATGTGCAGCTGTTTGTTAGCTTAACATCCTTATGTTTAAATAGCATTTTCATAAAATGTGGGAAATGTGTTTGTGCAGTTCTATTTTTTAAGTTACTCATAACAAGAAACACATTCAAATGTTTACTTGAAATTTGAAACCTACAGTGAGTTCCTTATTTTTATTTTCTAACAGGACTGTAAAAATTGCTTACAAAAGTAGCCTACAGCGAGTTCCTTATTTTTATTTTCTAATAGGACTGTAAAAATTGCTTACAAAAGTAGATGCTGGTACTTACTTGGGATTAACTGCCATTTGTGATGATTAAAAACTACTGCAGGTTGAACAAATAATAGAAGCTCAAATACAAGCATAAGCTTGATGGCTTTTTTTCCTTGCAGTAATGGTACAATTTCTTTGTAGAGTCTGAATTTCTCTACCTTTCTTTTTGTAGCTGTCTGTTGCTTGTTTTAGCATTTTATAAACCTCATTCTCTAGCAAACTGTGGGTAACTGGTTGGTTGATTGAATGCAACTGAACAAATATATCTGATTTCAATAGATTGTCTAGTTAATCGGTGTGTAAGATACTGACCTCCTTAAATGCAGACTTATTCAGCCCCTTTGAGCAGTACCAGTAACAAGTACAATATTCCCATTTTTCTTGTCTCAGGTCTTTGCTGACTTTTTTTCCCTGTGTGTGCAGTATTAATGACTTCAGAAGTATACATTTAGAGACTAGAAAACTGTTAATGTTCCTGTTTGAATGACATTCCAATTATTCATTCATTTATTGATAGCTTTGACCTAAAAACAGTCACTTTAATCCTTGAGGAATACAGCTGAGACAATACTATGGCTGTTTGAGCATCCGTCTGAAAAGCTAGATTTATCACTGAAAACTTTAATTTGAATGTATAAATGTTGTTGTGCCTCAGAAATTAAGTCGTTTTCTGTGAAACTGTGTTTTTTAAGATGTTAACTGAACTTGCATCTAAAGCAGGAGAAAAATACTGATTATATAAATCTTTATATCTGACTATGGTAGCTACCATAGTATTTCTCTTTTATGACAGTAATCTAGCCTGCAACATCTACTTGCAGTTTTGAAATTAACCTGTAATTTAGTCTTCACCCCAAATGACAAAAATTCAAATGACTCCATGGGGTGCCAGAAGATGCACTGTAAACAGGGCTCGGTAAGGGGGATAAGGTAGAAATCCATCATCCTAGGTTCTTTTTCAGAATGCCAGGATTGCTGACAAAATTAACTCCTCTTCTGTGTTTTGCTCTTAAATTTTTTTTAAAAGTATTAGCCTAGAAGATGATAGTAGTACATAGTAGTCTAGATAGTAATTTCTTTGAAAAAGCAAAATTTGTGCTACACAAGAAATGCCATGTGAGGGAACAACATCTGAATTTGACTTGTTTTAACAGTAATGCCATAATTTGTTAAGGTTCTGTTGATCAATAATCAAGTTGCTTCAGCAATGTTAAATCATTATTTCCAGTCGGTTTTATTATGGCCTTCAGCTGCTGCTGCTAAGTGATTTTTTAAAACAATAATTATTTTTTTTGCTTTGGTAACTTTCATCACCCTTATCAAATAAAACTCTTGAAATCTAAAATGCAGTCGTATTGCCTGTTTGGTTACTTAATACATTTTGTGTGTGTGGGCTTGATTTGTTTCAGTTTAAACCTTCCCCTTCAAAGTATAGCTTCACATACTGTTTTACCAGTGTGTCAGTGATTGTCCTCTCTTGGTTTTGGTGGGGTTTTTTGGGTTCTTTTTTTTCAGATTAGGTAGTAATCCTTTGAGAAAGGGTCTGCAGTAGATGATTAAGTACTATTAGTTGCATGGTGTAGAAGGCTTTTTTATGTTTGTTGTTACTTGAAGTTCCAGATGTGACTGTTTCTATGACTCTTCAGTTTTGCATTTTAACTGTGTGTACTTCTGAAGGTGTTAATAATGTATATG